AAGAAACATTAAGGGAAGAAATATTACTTATCCTTTTAGGAATAACTATTCAGCCTATTTTCTTGATCTCATCTCTTCATCTTGATTTTTAGCTTTATCTGGCTACAAAAAATTCCAAAAAATCATTCTTTCTGTTCTATCTTCAATGTCTGTTTTTCCTTCATGATCTAATCGTCCCTCCTTTTATTCTAAGTTTTCCAACACAGTCTAGGTAGTAAAACTGTAAATTTCACTGCAAAATAAAAAAATTAAGGAAATAAAATATTTGTGCACATTAATGATAAAGAAAATAAAATGCTTCAGTCTCACATACTTCCATTTCTAATATCTTGCTCTTGAAGCTGTTTAACACAACAATGACATCTTCTATATCTGACGGAGAGTCAGTTTCTTCATGCCTAAATGCAAAAACAAACAAAAAAAACCCCATAAATTTTTATCATGAATTCAAAACCAGATATACAATTAAGATACACAAGCAATCCGCTTTGCATTGGTATAAACTTGTGTATATATCATATTGCTTTCTTCCTTTTTTTTTTTGGTACCAGGATTTGAACTCAGGACCCTGCACTTGCCAGGCAAGTGTTTATTCTACTGTGCTATCTCCCTGGCCCTATATTTGCTTTCTATACTCAATTTATACATTTTAAAATGTAATAAAATATAGTATATTTAAATTGATATATTACATGTTAAAAATTATCTAAAGTTTACTTTAATATACATTACCATTGTACAAAAGTAACTCAAGTAAGTCTAACATTGCCTGAGCAGCCATAAAACTTAAATTACGGTTTATCTTTACTGTTGTATACAAAGACTAAAATAAAACTCCAATCTTTCACATCTCTGATTTGTTGCAATGACAATCAAAATGTGAGATGTTTTCTAGACTTAAAAAATGTTTAGACATCAAAGGAATTTTATATTGTCAGCATTTTAGTATCTACCCAGCATTTTCAAATGCCAAAACCTGAAAGGCACTATTAAATCTCTAAGACTGAAAATGTGTCTATCATATATCACCTTAATGTTTCTATTTTATATGTATATAATTTATTCTTTAATTTTCAAAATTGTGTAAACAAAGATAACAGTTGTATTCCAAATTTTCTGATACTACTCTCACGGACTGAAAAATTTCACTGTAAAAACTATATCATTAAGTTTTGTTAAAGGGAAGGAATCTGGTGTTCTTGCATTTGGTCATACTTAGGACATACTGTACATGTTAACATTCTGCTAAAGGAACACCTGGGCGTCCTAGCACTACAAGCACTAACACAAGCCTTTGACTTCCTCTTACTTTCAGCTTTCCAACTGGCAGAGCTAACCCCAGGAGAAGGCAGAACCATGTCCAAAACAGAAAGGGTTTGAACTTAGATGGTACCAGTGTCGTTTCTTAAAATCTGAAGCACTTCTAGTCATAGCATTGCTTGAGGGCATTAGCAACTTCAGCAGTCTAATCCACTCGGACCAGGCCTGGCCCAGCAAGCATATCACTGCACCCAGGTATCTGTAGGTTCTAAAGCAAATCTCTCTTACAGGTGGCAGAGGTAGTGAGGACAATGAGCTCTTACTCCTTCACAGTATTTTAAGTATGTTATAGATGCTAACTCACGTTAAGTGAGTTACAACCATCATTTAAGGATATAATTATAACCCCAGATCCAAATTGGAGGCCTGGCTCAATTTGTACTGCACTATGAGATGTATGTCAACAATGCGAAGCAGCTAAAACCCACCAGACACATGAGGAAAATCAGCAGGTTAAGTGAAGAGAACAAGCTAAGCAGTTAGGGAAACATTTACTGTAAAGAAAAAGGGATTTACTCAAATATTTTACTTTTTTTTTTTTTGTGTGTGTGTGTGTAGAGCCAGAGATTGAACTCTGGCCCTTGTGCTTGCCAGGCAAGTGCTTATTCTACTAAGCTATCTCCCCATTTTCAATGAGATTTACATTCTCAATGAGAAGACACTGTATCTTTGTAAAAGCCATTTATTTTATTTTATTTTATTTTATTTTTTTGGTGGAACCGAGGATTGTACTCAGGCCATTGTGCTTGCTAGGGAAGCGCTTATTCCACTGAGCCATCTCCCCGGCCCCAAGCCATTTATTTCTAAATGAAAAAATCACTATGTATCAGAAAATATTATTTTTAAATAATTTTTATTCATTTTAATGAGAAAAAAGTTAAAATAGCAATGAAACACATTCAAAACAGGTTAGTAGGACATTTGTAATAATTAATACATTGCATATTATTGTCTTCACAGTAGTTATGCAGAGGACAAGATGCAGACATGATATCTTGTCTAAACAATATCAGCACAAAACTTTCTTCTCATTGAACTAAGAGAAAGTAGCTGTATATCTAACCTAACTATCTCACTGGCCCTTTATTTACATCACTCTTTTATGTTTTGCTTGTCAGGGATGGGTGTTCCACTGCTGTTAGAGAAGCTGTATTTGGAGAAATTTTTAAAGGACCTTTTCATACTTGATGCCAGTCCAAATATTGTAACTACTTGAATTCAGCAAAATAACTCAATATAGTCCAATAGCTCACAGTAGTAGTGAGTTACCAGCACAACTGGCAATTGTCTGAAGTTATGAATTTGAGCCTTTTACAGCTCAGCATATTAATATAGCTTTACTTTTTTTTTTGTAGCTTTACCTTTTATACCTCATGGTTACACTTCTGCTGAATGGCTAAGACCAAGTTACAGTACGACCTATATAACTAAAAATGTAACTTTCGTATTGACAAGTTCAGTCAAATCCTCTCAGGATTTACCCCGGAACCACGTACAGAACCTTGTGGATCTTTTGTCAGTGTCAGGCATCTGGATGAGTCACGACCATTGCTTGACCAATTTGCTCTCTGGCTACACATTTTTTTAAGGTGGTTGTTTTCCTAGACTCTTACCAGCTATGGTTCTGGCTGAGAATAGTTTTAATTTGCATATATTTGCATGTACATGGAAGGTAGAAGTGAGTGGGGGCAATGTGCTAATGCCTGGCTGGTCTCTCTTGGCAAGTATGGCCATGAGACACACGACTTTCTACATCTATGTTCCAGTCTCTTAGCTCTGTGCGTGCTGACAGCCAGCTGATGTGTTGGTAGTAGCAGCTTCTTGCTTTCTCATATTCTGAATCATGGGAGAACTGGCAGCTGTCTTGCTGGTCAGTTTCTTGGTTTTGTCATTCCTGGGGAGTTTGGCTCTGTAACCCTTTCCTAATACAATATAAAAGCATGTAAGCCCATTGTTTTTTTTTTATTTTTGACAATTTTTATTGTTATAATTAAGAACGTCAGCCAGATGGATACATTATTTTTTTCCAATAATTTTATTGAGAAACAAATAGCAATGAGACAGTTTCAAATCAAATTAGTAGGACAGTTTCAATAATTAACACATTGCATACTCTCTTCCTAGTGGTTATTTGTTGTGATGCAGACATGATATCCTATTTACAAACACTATTAGAAGAAATCCCTCTATTCACTGAATTAAGAGAATGTAGCTGTATATCTATCCTAATGATTTTGAATACATAGGTACAAAGTAGTCATTCATCTGTATCCCCCTTTTTTGTTTAGTTCTGTCATTTAAATATTTTTTTCATAATTTTATTGATAAACAAATAGCAATGAGACAGTTTCAAATCAAACCGCTAGGACAATTTCAATAACTAACACACTGCATACATTCTTCTTAGTGCTTAATTGCTGTACAAGATGTGGACTTGAGATCCTATTTACAAACACCATTAGAACATATCATTCTATTCATTAAGAGGATGTAACTATATATCTATCCTAACCACTTTGAATACACAGATACAAAATGGACATTCATCTGTATACCCATTTTTTGTTAAGTTCCGTTAT